GAGTCACAGCAAGATGAAGGCGCACGTCTCTCAAAAAAGAATAAAATTTCCTTCCTCCAATGTCAAAACAACAGAAGCGCATGTGTCTTTGGTAGGATGGATTGCAGGTCTAATCTGACATTTCCTCACTGACCTTTAATGTTTCCTATTCAAGATTAGACTTGACGTAATTGAGCTCTAGCAATAACTGCATGTAATTGTATATACATGCGCTTTTATGCGTTCATGTTCTGTCACTCCAAAAAACATCTGAAAGTGAGGAAATTCGCCGTAATTGACAGCACAAGAGCGCGGGAGGGAATAAGTAACACTCCACTGAAAATTGTTGTGAGTTGGCAGCTTGAGTGGAAGACGCTTGTAAAATGTTGAGGTAAATAAACTAAGGAAATATATTTTTACACATCCTCCAGTACTGTTTTGTTCCATATTAAAACTACAAGGGTAGCGGATTCCATTAACAGTTAGGCGAATTAAGTCTTTGGAAAGTGTTCTGGTGAGCGCCAACTCATTGTGAAAATCTATAGAGCGGTTTATGAAAACTCACGGCTGAGGTTGACTTTTATAAACAGCTGGCATGAACAATTGCAGCATCGTAAAAGATGACTGGCAGTATTCCTTTGCTTTCCTTTATGACATTTCTGGGATTTCAACCCTGCAGTGATTGTATTTAATTGGAACGATTGCACTGATTGGGTTTCAAAGGCCGTTTTGTTGTGGAACGTGACGTTGATGCTGCTCTTCAAAAGTTTTTGCGACCGTTTCTGACTGTTGGAAATTGTTTCTTCCGTTCTTGCTTTTTCTTTTAAGAGTCCCAAGATGGGAATTACAAATCGGATGTGAGCAGCAAGCCAAGGAAGGAGCGGACGGCGTTCACCAAAGAGCAGATTCGAGAACTGGAGGCAGAATTCGCCCATCACAACTATTTGACCAGACTGAGGCGGTACGAAATCGCCGTAAACCTGGATCTCACGGAAAGGCAGGTGAGATGACCGACCGCGACCTCGTACCTGTTCATCAATCATTCTGTCAGAAGCTACCGCTGTTTTTTTTTCCGGGTTTAGTGCTTTTCTATCCAGCTGTGGCTATGGAGTGGGACTATTGTATTCCAGATGTTTCTGCAATATCTCTTTTTGGCTGTAGTCAAGTAACAGGAGAGGTGAAGGAAGTTCTGTCCGCTAAGGCACTTCTGCCTTGCCGCCCCATCTTACAAATTGGTCTCTGCGTGGGAAGGTGCTTCCTACAGCCATATGTGAAATAAATAGCACATGACACTTTATTTGGGGCCAAAGAAATATGGGTTGTTGTAACTATTTGATGTTTTAACCAAACAACTATGTAATCTTATTAAACCATTGAAGTTTATTGACTTCTACAGACATAAAGAGATGACATAATGCTTGCTGTTTTTGGAATGACATCATTGGCAGGTCATTCTGGCCTTATTCGAAACACCACTGCTCAATGAGCCATGCAGTTTCTTTAATTGATAATATGTCCAAAACTTCACAGTATTTTAGTTTACAAATGTGTTTCTAGACCTTCTGGTTTCATCAGACTTTGCAGTTTGCCAAGGATCCCACAAGGAAATGACATCTGTGGCCTTAAATTATGCTACATTCTCTGGGGATACATTCCCAAGGCTTAGAATTAAAAACCTTGCCACACGACAAGTAAGCAAATCCGTCTCCTGCAATGTGATCCCTGTGTGAACCTGCTGGAGTTCTGGATCTTTGTGGTGGGAGTAGGGCCACCACCATTTTGCACATGTAAAATGGTTACTAATCATAATAATAATATTGCAGAGCCTAATTAAAACATCTGTCTTTGATTAAATTTATTACAGCCCCTACAAGACAGCACTGCATTGATATTCCTAAACGATTTAGGGGTTTATATTTAAACTCCTTCAGTTAATTCAGTCTGAACTACATAACTACTTAACATAAGAATTCAAACTTATTTTTTTATTTATAATTAATAATAAATTTTTATATACATTTTTTTTAATGTAAAATCACTGTGAAAGATTCCCATTGACTTATATTGATAGACAGTTCAGCTTTTAAAATCTAATATTCATCAACGATTAGAATAGAATTTCTATGGTTAATTCAGTCTGAACATGCAAATTCCGTTCAAGTGTGTATTTATTTATTTATGCAGTTTATATCTATTATTTTTTATTTATTTTTATTTATTTGTAACTTTTTTTTAAATAAATTTTTAATTAAAGTGTGAAATTTCCATAGACTTATACTGATCCTTAAGAATTAAACTCCAATTAATTCAGTATGAACTGCTTAACACAAAAATTGTGTTCAAACTTTATTTATTTATGATATTATAATTCATACATTATATATATATATATATTAAACTGTTTAATTTTTGAGCAATTAAAAATTAAAGTGTGCAGACTTCCTGTTGACATTATGAATGTTCAGCATTCAAAAACAATGATTTCATTGTCATTCTGATTGGCTTTTTTGCATGCTTGACTTTTTTTTTTTTCTTGCATCGGTTTAACCATATGGCCGTCTTGCCACTGCAAAGACAGTGCCGTGTTGTTTTGATTCTCATATGCAACCAAGAGAAGTCAAGATGTGTGCTGAGTTTTATGACAACTGCAGTGTCTCTGATTTCATTTACACTGAACCAGACTTCAAATTTAATTGTTTCCCAATGCTGCTATGCAATTGAGGGTATTTTTGATTTTTATTTTTTTAGAAAATGCATATCTAGTTTTTGCATTTTGTTTGTTTTTGTCTAATGACATGCATGCACTAACCTGTAAGCAGTAGCATACTCAATGTTTTCAGGCTGAGAGAAGAATTGCAAACGTTGCAGATATATTTTAAGGGTGCAGTCTTAGTGCTGAACTTGATGGGTGGCCAATTGAATAGTGTTCTAGTAGACTTGAAACATGTCTTGAAACATTAGCTGAACAAATCAGTGTGTATGTCATTTGAAAGTAAAATGTGCCTTTAAACTTAACCATCATGTTTGATAACCATTTGAAAAAAAAAAAGTTCAATTTACATTGATTTGGGCCTGGTATTCCTCAAGTCTGATTGCGTATGAAGAATTCTGGTCCATTGTGACTATCTATAACATTATACCCCTCCAGAAATAAATTTTAGTGTATACTGGCCATTGAAAGCCATTGATAGCCATTTGGGAAAAATACTTCAAATGACATCATTTTGCTGATTCTAACCTGGTATTCCTCATGTCTGATTGCGTATGAAGAATTCCAGTCCATTTCATGTGACTATCTACAACATTATACCCCTCCAGAAATACATTTTACTGTATGGTGGCCCGGTCCCCCAGCGAGCCTTACTTGCACTGCAGTGACCATTTAAGAAACCGCTAAATCATCATTCTGGGAAACGTAAATACTGGCTCTAACTGAACTCACAAAGAAAATACGGAAATGTCTGATGCCACAAAACAGATGGGCTCCAAATATTGCTGATCTGGAAATAGCTGCCAAATACGTGCATTGAAAGCCATGTTATATTTCTAACTTCTTCAGAGAAACACAATTCCAAACTTTGTGGATCATGCCTTAGAATAGCAGGGCGGTCAACTGATCGCATGGCTCTTTTGCACCTGATCGAGGGATATTAGCTTACTGGAGTTTGGTGAGTCATGGCCTGATCCACCTCTCCAATCGCTCTGCCAAAAAACCACAGTAGACAGATCATCTGCACCAACTAGCGAACATACAAACTAAATTGCTGAAGACAAATTGCACTCTTAAAAAAAAAAAAAAAANAAAAAAAAAAAAAAAAGGTTCCAAAATGTTTTTCCCCATTTAAGCACCAATTTGGGTTCCCAAAGAACCTTCCATGGAACGGTTTTTAAAATAACCATGTTTTTCTTAATGTGAAGAACTTTTTAATAACCGTTTCCCATTATTAAGAACCATTTGTGGAATGGAAAGGTTCCATGGATGTTTAAGGTTCTTCATGAAACCATACAGTAGATGCCAATTATTAGAACATGGTAACTCGTGTGTCTTTCTTTCCCACTAGGTAAAAGTGTGGTTTCAGAACAGACGGATGAAGTGGAAGAGAGTTAAAGGAGGCCAACAGGGGGCGGTAGCGAGAGAAAAAGAGCTTGTGAATGTGAAGAAGGGAACGCTGCTTCCCTCCGAGTTTTCGGGAATTCCTGGACTCCACCATACACCAGACTCGCTTATCAACAATGAGGACAGCCACGACAGCGACCAGAGCTCTGAGCACACTCACTTATGATACAAACAGATCCCATTCGCCTTTCGATGCTTATCTAGGGTCATGTTCAGTTAGGGATTATGTTAAGTACGGACTGAAAGTACAGACTGAAAGTACACAAAGACCATATGTGCCAATGAGGAGGCACCGTAACACGACGCCTATCAGGACAGTTCCTGTGACGCCTCAAGAGTAGTGACAATGTAAAAATGTACACAGGACTGATGTATTGTTATGCATTTGGATGATACAGAATATTTGTGATACCCTGGCATCAATTTTCACACAAAAATGTGCCTTGCTTGTTTGACAGAATTTGTTAACACGTTTGAAATGTGCTATAAGTCATTTTAAAATCCTGCCTGTCAGCAAAGCCGACTAGCATCCCAGATTTGTTGCTGTTTACAGAGCCTAGGGACTTCTGTCAGGTCTCATGGATATTTTCTGCATGCTATTTCATAAAATAATCACTTACAGCACCTTTAAAGTACCCTTCTACTGCTCTTTACTTGAAAGACAGAATCTAGGAGTCC